CGGAGGTTAGCAAACCTTTTCTCTTGACAGCAGATAATAAATATTTTAGGCTTTAAGGGTCATAAGATCTCTGTTACAGTTTCTCCATTCTACTGTTACAGCGCAGAAGCAGCCATAGACAGTGTGTAAGCAGATGAGCATAACTGTGTTTCAGTAAAACTTTATTTACAAAAATGAATGGTGGTCCAGATTTGGCTTGTGGGCCATAGATTGCTCACCCTGCCTTAGACTGTCAGATATGGTTTTTTAAAACAGCTTTATTGAGATATAATTCATATACCTTAAAATTCTTCCATTTACAGTCTACTCTTGAATGGCTTTTAGTATAGTATTCACAGAGTTGTAAAACCATCACAACAGTCCATATTGAAACACTTTTATTACTGCAAAAGGAAACCTTGCACCCCTAGCCATCACCCTCCAATTCTCTCATCTCCTGATCTGCCCCAATTCTAGGTAATCACTAATCTATTTTCTATCTCTATATATTTGCCTATTCTGAACATTTCATATAAATGGAATCATTTGCATATGATCTTTTGTGACAGTTTATTTCAGTTAGCATAATGGTTTCAAGGGTTATCCATGTTCTACATGTATCAGTATTTCATTTATTTTTATTACCAAATACTATTCCAGCAGTGTGTGAGGGTTCCAGTTTCTCCACCAACACTTGGGATTATTGGGCTTTTTTATTGTAGTCATCATAGTGCATGTGAAGTTGTTTCTCATTGTTTTGATTTGCATTTCCCTGCTTTGTAGTTAATGATGCTGAGTAACTTTTCTAGTGCTGATTGGGCATTTGTATGTCTTCTTTGGAGAAATGTCTATTCAGATCCTTTGTTCATTTAAAAAATTGGATAATATCTCTTTTTGAAGATTTTTAAGAATTCTTCATATATTCTGGATACAAGCCCCTTGTCAAATATATGATTGGCAGATATTTCCTCCCACTTGTGTACTGTCATTTCACTTTGTTTATATGTCCTTTGAAGCATGGAAGTTTTAAAATTTCAGTGATGTCCAGTCTGTTACTTTTTTTCTTTTGTTGCTTGTGCTTTTGATATCATATATAAGAAACCATTGCCCAATCCAAGGTTGTGAATACGTTAGCTTTTATGTTTAGGTCTTTGATCCATTTTAGGTGAACCCTTGTGTATAATATGAAGTAAGGGTCAAAAATCATTTCCTGCATGTGGATATCCAGTTGTGTCAGTGTTGCAAACACTATTCTTTCCACCACTGAACTATTTTGGCATCCTTGTCAACAAACAGTTGACCATAAATGTGTGAGGGTTTATTTCTGAACTCTAAATTCCATTCTACTGATCTATACGTATATTCTTATTCCAGTACCACATTGTTTTGATTTCTGTAGCTTTATAATAAGTTTTGAAATTAGGAAGTGTGAGTCCTCCAACTTTGCTTTTCTTTTTCAATATTGTTTTGGCTATTCTGTATCTCTTGCTTTTCCGTATGAGTTTTAAGATCAGCTTGTCAATTTCTCCAAAGGGGTCAGCTGGGATTTTGATGGAGAGTGAGTTGAATCTGTAGATCAATTGAGGAAGTATTGCCATCTTAACAGTATTGTCTTCTGATCCATAAACATGGACGTCTTTCCATTTATTTAGGTCTTCTTTAATTTTTTTCCAACAATATTTTATAGTTTCCAGAGTATAGCTTTTATACTTTTTTGTTAAATTTATTCCTAATTATTTTATTCTTTTTGATGCTATTGTAAATGGAAATTTTTTAAATTTCATTTTTGTGCATCACATTATATAGGAATATAATTCATTTTTGTATGTTGATCTCGTATCCTGCAACCTTGCCAGACTCATTTATTAGTTCTAATAGTTTTTTAGTAGAGTCTTTAAGATTTTGTATATACAAGATCATGCCATTTGCAAATAGAGATAGTTTTACTCCTTCCCTTCCAGTCTGGGTGCCTTTTATTTCAGTTCCTGCCTAATTGCCCTTGTTACACCCTCTAGTACAATGTTAAATAGAAGTGGTAAGGGGACGTTTTTATCTTGTACCTGATCTTAGGGGAAAGCATTCAGTCTTTGGCCACTAGTGATGCTGATGTTAGCTGTGGGGTTTTCGTAGATGCCATTTATCAGTCCAGGAAGTTCCCTCTATAGCAAGTTTGTTGAGTGTTTTTATCATAAAAGTGTTGGATTTTGTGAAATGCTTTTCTGCATCTATTAAGATGATTATGTGGGTTTTGTCCTTCATTCCATTGATATGATGTAGTATATTGATTGATTTTCATGTAGTTAACCAACCTTGCATTGTTGGGATAAATCCCACTTGGTTGTAGTGTATACTCTTTTATATATTGCTGAATTTAATTTGCTAGTATTTTGTTGAAGATTCTTGTGTGTGTATTTGCAAAAAATACTTGTCTGTAGTTTCTTTTCTTGTGGTGTCTTTTGTCTGATTTTGGTATCAGGGTAATGCTTATACAATGAGTTGGGAAGTATTCCTTCATCTTTTGTTTTTTGGAAGAGTTTGTAAGGGATTGAATTTTTTTTTTTTTTTTTGGTGGTACGCAGGCCTCTCACTGCTGTGGCCTCTCCTGTTGCGGAGCACAGGCTCCAGACGCGCAGGCTCAGCGGCCATGGCTCACGGGCCCAGCTGCTCTGCAACACGTGGGATCCTCCCGGACCGGGGCACGAACCCGCGTCCCCTGCATCAGCAGGCGGACTCTCAACCACTGAGCCACCAGGGAAGCCCAGGGATTGATATTTATTGTTCTTTAAATGTTTGGTAGGATTTACCAGTGAAGCCATCTGGGCCTGGGCTTTTCTTTGTTGAAAGTTTTAAAATTATTAATTTAATCTGTTTCCTTGTTATAAATCTATTTAGATTTTTTTTTTGACCCAGTTTTGCTAGATTGTTTCTAGGAATTTGTTTATTACATCTAAGTTATCTAATTTAGTGGTTTATATTTAGTTGTTCATAGTATTTTCTTATAGTCCTTCTTATTTCTATAAAGTCAGTAGTAGTATCTCACTTTCATTGCTGATTTTAGTGCTTTGAGCTCTTTCTCTTTTTTCTTGGTCAGTTTATTTAAAGGTTGTGAATTTTACTGATATTTCCAAAGAACCAATTTTTGGGTTATTGTTTTTTCCTCTTTTTTTCTATTCTCAATTATCTTCTAAAGATACTAAAATAAAGTTATTTTTAATATTTTTACACCTATTTATCATTTTCAGTGATCATCATACAAGGCTAAGTTTCCATCTGGTATCATATTGGACTTAAAGAACTTTCTATTCTTGTAGTTCAGATCTGCTGGCAGTGAATTCTCTCAGTTTTGGTTGTATTAAAAATCTATTTTATCTTCATTTTTGAAAGATATTTTGCTAGATATAGAATTTTAGGTTGACGCTTTTTTTTTCTTTCAATACTTTAAAGACATTGCTTCATTGCCTTCTGCCTTGAGTAGTTTCTGATGCAAAATATGCTATTAATCTTATCTTTGTTTTTCTGTATCCAATTTTTCTTTCTTTTTTTTTTTTGGTTGTTTTCAAGATTTTCTCTTTCTGTTCGGTGTTCAGCAATTTGTGAGGTATGTAGGGTTTTTCCCTTGCTAGTACTTCATTAAGCTTCTTGGATATGTGATTTGTTTTTTGTTTTTCATTAATTTTGGGAAACTCTTCAAGCATTTTCTCTTTAAATGCTCTTTCTACCCTATTCTTTCTTCTCTATTACTGAGAATCCAAATACATGTATTTTAGTCTGTTTGATGCTTTGATAGGTTTTGAATGTTCTTTTTTATTTTATTTTTTTTCATTCCTTTTCTTCTTTGTGTTTTACTTTGGATAATTTGTTTTGACCTGATGCTTTCTCTCTGTGTCCTGTCTGCTCAGAAGCTCATGTATGTTATTTTTAATCTTTAATACTATGATATTTTAAAAGTTTTTATCACTTCCATTTGATTATTTTATAGTTTCTGTCTCTGTGGAAAGTCCCTGTTCGTTCATAAATTTTCTCCAGCTTTGTACCACATCCTTTAACATATTAATCATATTTGTTTTAAAGTCCCTATTACAATCTAATCTCTGGGACTTTTCTGCTTCTGATTCTGTTGACTGTTTCAGCTCTTAACAATGGGTCTTATTATTTTGTTTCCTTGATCTTGTTATATGCCTTATAAATATTTATTGAGTGCTGCATATTATGTTTAAAAGAGTAATAGAGACTGAGGTTAGTAGTATTTATGCACAGAAACGTGCACGCCCTTTTTGTTTTGTTTTGTTTTGTCAGCATGGGGGTTTTGAACTTATCTGATCAATAGTTGAGCTGGGCTTTTGTGTTGTGGTATATTGCTAGTTGATGTCAACAAGCCACAGATGTCACATTTTTCCAGAGGCTTCTACCACTTTGTGCTTAGTGTAGGATTTTGAGTACTGGAGGGTTTTCTCAGTGTTCTTGTTTCACTCTCAGTTTTCAGCAAGCCCTGCATACCTGTGCCACAAGGGAGTCTCTCCGTGCTCTTGCTTGACTCTCAGAGGTAGATTGCTGTTGTCTTTTACTTTAGGCAAGGCTTTGGGTGGGGAAGTGGGGGGATGAATATTTCATTCTCCTGTTGCAGCCTCAACATTAGGTAGGCCTTTTCCCCCTGAGTGTCAGAGTGGGTGTTATTAATGTTCCTGCCCATTTCCCCACCCCTCCCCGCAGCCGTGTATCAAGAAAAGGAGCAAGGGTCCTGCACCTCTTCCAACAGCTGACCTTAGCTAGTCATCAGAGGGCGGACAGATGCCTATCCTTCTTTCAGTAGCAGCTGGGCTTTTCCTTTGGCAAGGGGTATGAGGGTTTCTTCTTAGATGCTTAAAAAATTATCTTTAATGTTTTTCAATATATCGTATTTTAATGTTGTCTTTTTAGAAGATTAGTTCCTGATGAGCAGAGGCTGGATCTTAGATTTTTAGAAAAGGATGACTACTATTTGGTTATTATTATAATATGCCAATGTGTTTGTTCTTTTCCAGCTTAGGTTTGATTTCCGACTCTTTTCACATGTTTTTCGATAGCACTGCCATTTTGGCTGGATTGGCAGCGTCCGTTATTTCAAAATGGAGAGATAATGATGCTTTCTCTTATGGGTAAGACTTTTTAAAAACATTTTTATTGAAGTATGAGAAATACAGAAAATAATATATAAAACTCAAGCTCAATGAATTTTCACAATTGAATACATTTGTCTAACTTGAACCCTTGAAAACCCCTCATGCCTCCTTCTAGTTCTTTAACACTCACCTTCCCGCTTTCCTAACTCCATAGGTGACTTTTGCCTGTTTTTGGACAATATATAATTGGAATCTGCAATGTGTACTTTTTTTTTTTTGCATCTGAGTTCTCTTGCATCTTGATTTTACCAGAAATTTTCAGGTGAGATTGTTACTAGATAGGGAAATTTCTCAACTCTTAATCTATTTTTTTGGTTTTGTTTTTTTTTGAAGAAGGAGGAAAAAGAGAAAGTTTCAGTATATGAAAATGGTCATGTTTCTTTAGTTTTCTTTTTTGGTTGATATTTTGTTTACTTATTGTCTTCAGCTCTGCTTTTATGTAAAGTACTTCCCCTACTTTTGCTGAATATGTACAATTAACTAAATATTTGGAAAGTGTTTTTATGCCGAAGGGGCTGGTCTCACTTCTGAGCCTAGTAACGTTAGAGGCAGAGTTTGCTTTCTGCCATCTCTGATTGGGGGCAGCAATGGAGTTTCCATTATTTGATTTACTCTGCTTGAGTGTTTTCTCTTTTTTTGAGCTCATAGACTGTTTTACAATGTAATTATATTTATGTGTAAATAAGTAGCGCTCAGAACTAATATCCTCTTTCTCTTTCTCTCTCCCACCCACTTTCTCGTTCCTGCTCCCCCCTCTCACCTGCTTACTTATTGACTATTGCCCTGTCTCTTCCCCTCCCCTCACTTTCCCTTGTGAGTACTGTCTTGCACTCCCTCCTTTCTTTGCTGTCTTTCCTGTTTTCACTCCATCTCTCATTTGTCTCCCCATACTCATACTCATTCTCTCCCTTTTACTTCTCAACTCCCTTCTTTCCTTTCCTGTTCTTTCTTTCTAGTTACTTGGGTCTGTGCTCATGGTCTTTTTTCTCTCCCTCTCCCTTCTACTCTCCATTTTCCCTTTCTCCCTCCCTCTCTTCTTTTCTCTTATTCTTTGCTTTCTCCTACTCTTCCTCTATGCTGTAGCACTGTATGGCTAAGACTCTTTCTCATCCCATCTTCCCCACCCCTTAACCTCTTCAGCTGTAGTTGTTTTTTTTTTTTTTCTCTCCCTTTCCCAGGCTCTCTTTCTTTCTTTCCCTGATTCTCCTTGCCTGTGCACTTTCTTTCCTGTGCAGTTCCTCTCATTCTCTCTCTTCTGTTCACATCCACCCTCTTACATGCACTGTTTCTTGTGCCCCTGGTTCTCTCTTCTACTGGTGCTCCCCCACTACTTCCTCTTTCTTTCTAGCTTTGCTTTCTAGCTAGCTTTGTTCTTGAGTAATTACACACTCTCTGTTTCTTGCACGTGCTCTTGTTCTCTTCAGATGTTTATCGAGGGCCCAATATGATTTGAATACTGTGCTACTTGTAATGATATAAAAATGAATAAGATATGACGTCTGCCTTGGAGGAACTTGTGGTCTGATGGGGAAACAGTTCTGTAAAAATCCTATGATAACTATACATTGTGTGACAAGTGCTAAAAGAGAGATATGTGAAATTCTGTGACAGGACTTGCTGATTTGGGGTATAACCCAAGTGGTATGATTACTTGTAACATTATAAAAAGTGAGACAAAAAATAGTATTATGTTATATTTATAGAGCAAGAGATCCTGTTTATTTATAAATCCAAACAGCTCAAAAGCTCAGAAAAGAACCTATTCCATGGCATTGTATAATCAAAAGACTCTTAAGTATATTTTGAATTACTAAAGGTTGTATGTGAAGTTATAATTTTGTGTTGGAAAATTAGTAATTCATACATATTTTACATAAAAATATCTAATTAGAGTATCTTATTAAGCAATCTTCTTGGATAGACAGTAACTAACTATAAGAATTCTCCTCAATTCCTTAATTCTTAGGGTATCTATTGTTTTCTATTTAGAATGCATAATCTCCTGGTATAAGATAGTTTTTATAAATAGCTTTGAATACCTTCAGTACCATAGCAGGTTTTACTGATTCAACTTTAACTAAAATATACGAGAGTAATATTCTTGACATTTTTAAATTTGTTTATCCTGTCTTCTCCTTATTTGCTTTTTTTTCTTTTGAGAAGGGAAAAATTAGGGGAAAAAAGCTGATGTAACATTTGAAACTATTAGTAATTGCTATAGTAGTAAGTAGCAGCAGTAAATGTAGGTGCCAGTATAACAGAATTACACTGAGTAGGCTAAGCCAGTGATGAATCCCCAAACCCCTAATTCAGTATGATCAGAATAGCAGGCTGACTGCAATAGTAGAAACCATAGGCAGAATCTGAAAGGCAGCAAAAACTTTTCAGTATTTTTTTTATGTAAAGTCATCTCTGTGTATTGTCACACTCCTAATTTTGAAATAGCAAAGCTAGAATAAAAGTAATACATATCTGGGGCTTCCCTGGTGGCGCAGTGGTTGGGAGTCCGCCTGCTGATGCAGGGGACGCGGGTTCGTGCCCCGGTCCGGGAGGATCCCACATGCCGCGGAGTGGCTGGGCCCGTGAGCCATGGCCGCTGATCCTGCGCGTCCGGAGCCTGTGCTCCGCAACGGGAGTGGCCACAACAGTGAGAGGCCCGAGTACCGCCAAAAAAAAAAAAAAAAGTAATACATATCTGATAGGTAGATAGATGCATATGTGCATGCTTATATACATATGTACATATATTTGTATCTTTTTCTCCCTGGCTAAAGAATCCACATACCATCATACTAAATAGGCAATAGCACATTCATGGATCGTATGTTTTAATTCCAAGACTCAGTCTGTTCAGGTAAACACAGTGTGTTTGGAAAAGCAAGTGTGTCTAGATTTCACAAGTTTTTCATTTTAATCCTGCAGTCAACTTTAGCAAATATATTAAACCTAATTAAAATCACTTTAGCCCAACAATTTATCAGAATTTATGGAGCACCTACTAAGCTAAGCATTAGGGACAAAAAGATGCCTGAAAAACACTCCTGCCTTTGATCTTGAAATCTAATGGAACTCAAGGACAAAAGGCTTTCCATCAAGCATTAGCTATGGGATTAGAAGGGTGGGTTAAAAGAAAGTGTTTTTTATTTCTTGGACAGTAACACTGTTGATATATTAGATAAATTCCTAAGTATGGATTGTGGAAAGCAGGCAGTGAATTCTTTGAATTTAATGAAAAAAAAGTGTTTGCTTTGACAAATAAGATACTAATTTAATTCACATATATGTATTAGAAGGTAGACATATGCAGTATTTCTGAGTGTAGAAATATACACTATGTTGGAATGTACTTAACAGACAAGCTTCAACATAACCATATGGAGTATATTTTAAAGAGTTTTTTCTCTTTAAAAATATTTTTTGCAGTGAAAATTGTATTATCTAGAAATTAACATAGAAAGCTAGGAAGTCTAGCTTTTTGATGCTCCTGTTACATTGTTCAAGAACCAGAGTCATTAATTGCTGTCAGCACCCTTTAAATAATGTCTGAACATGTAAAACTGCCAAGTTAAAGTTGTTTTAATGACTTTAACTAAGCCAAATATACCTCATGGAAAAATAAAATCTTTCCCCAATGCTTCACACAGGTAGGAAGCAGAAAGCTTCAGAAGCCCATGGAGAAAAAGAGAGGTATTTTAAAAATAGTTTAATTAGAATTATGTGAAGCTAGAATTGATTCTAAAAATAGGTAATTGAAAAGTTTTTGTTAAATTTATTAATCTTAGAAGAGTGATAGAAATATAAATCTCAAGTTGTCTCTGGGATAATTCAGAAATAATTATGTTTTCCTTCAGTCAAAGCTCCCCTTGCCAAAGATTTGAAAGCTGAAAGGTACAAAGCAGAAAGCATAAGGAGTTCTTAGAAAAGAAGGAATTAACAAGTTATAAAAACCCCTTTTTCAAGGTCTCTTCTTCTACTTTTTATCTTTGTATCCTTCCTTCTTTGCCCACTTATCTGGTCCTGTCCTTCCTTCTCCACGGGCAGCTTGAGATTTATATTTCTGTGAAAGGTCTGTCTAAACCTACTTACTCTAAAAATGTCTTTTGTAGAAATCTATATATTTTATGGCATTCTGCTGTTAAATATAACTCATAATTTTATTTTCTCAATTTTATGCTATATGTACAATAAAACATACTATAAACACTGGGACTTTGTTGGCTGCTTATAACCATATAGTATGGTTTAGGACCTCTGAATATATGAATTTGTGATTTGATTTTTAAGAACTAACTTAATTCAGTTGTTTGCTCTTCTTTAGGTATGTTAGAGCGGAAGTTCTGGCTGGTTTTGTCAATGGCCTGTTTTTGATCTTCACTGCTTTTTTTATTTTCTCAGAAGGAGTTGAGGTATAGTAGATAATAATTAGAGTCAGTAAATTATGTTTCTATAATGAAAATATTTACTAACTAAAGATACTTGTAATAGAGCTATTTTTCACACTATCATTATTTATTGAGGCCAGTCTTGGATTAGATAAAATATTATGTGTGTACAGGAGGAACTTATAAAGTAATTGAAAAAATTATATGTGAAACTACTTCAAATTGAAAACAAATAATAGTGCTTTACAAGCTGTGAATGAAGTGTTGACACTTTATGAAAAGTAAACACACAGTCCCTGTAGTGAGGTCTGTTGGAAGAGTTCTTAAGATAGAATGTGAGGATTTTGCCAATGAATCTTGAATGTTTTGTATATTAAAACAAGTAAAGAGAAAATTTAAAGATTAATCAACTGAAAATTAATGACAGTATTTTAAGATTCTGAAGAAGGATGGTTTTAGTCCAAATGTTCATGCTTTTAAATGTATTTATTTAAGAATAGTAACTGTTACCTTTTCTACAGTATGTGAGCAATGGTTTTATTTTTATTAACTGTTTTGGCAGATAATTTTGGAGTGATTTTAATTCTGAAAATAACTAAAAATTTTTAAAAATTTACCAGTTGATCAGTCAGAAATTATATCAATGCAATTTGTTTGTATTCTGTATTTTCTAGAGAGCATTAGCCCCTCCAGATGTACACCATGAGAGACTGCTTCTTGTTTCAATTCTTGGGTTTTTGGTAAACCTAGTAGGAATATTTGTTTTCAAGCATGGAGGTCATGGACATTCTCATGGCTCTGGTATGATGGTTAGAACCCTTTGTTTCTTCATTTCTGGTTTCTGTCATAGTCACTTTTGAAAATTGATAATTTTTAAAGTTTAACCTACTATACTGACTTTTAATAAAGAAAGTAATATGTTAATAGACTCATATTAATGTCTTCCTGAACAATCCTTCCCGCTTCTCCATGTCCCTCCCTCTTAGTGGCTTCTCAGAGTTGTACATGTTATCAGCTTGGTGTGGATACTTCCAGACCTCTGTAGCTTATCTGTTTAGTATGATATCATTTATATAAAACAAACAAATATCAAAACCACAGTACAAATCTAGTTACTAAAAAGTTACAGTGTATGGGGGTATGAAATTTATCATACAATCTGTCTTTGAGATCCTTCCACCTGGTATCCATCAGTGTACCTTCTCTTGTTAACAGAAACACAAAACTCCATGGTGTGGGTTACCATGGTTTATTTAACCAGTCTTCTGTGGATTTAAGTCGTTTCTTGTTTTTCGCAGTTCCATATGAAGCATATCCTTGTGAACACATGCAAGTGTTTTTCCAAAGCTGTACTATCCTATACAGTAGTCATTAGTCACATGTGACTATTTAAGTTTACATTATGGTCAATTAAATTTAATAAAATTAAGAATTCAGTTCCTCAGTTATACTAATTACATTTCAAGTGCTCAGTAGTCACATAGGGCTACCATTTGGACAGCAAATGTAGAAGATTTCCATCATCACAGAAAGTTCTTTGAATTGCAGTCTGCTGGAATATGAGTAGAATTGCTGGAACACAGGATATCTAGTTTTTAGTTTCAATAGATGTTAGCAATTTGCCCTCCAAATGACTCATTCCCTTTTACCCCAGCAAAAAATTCAAGTACTAGTATTCTGTCACCCATATCAAAACTTAATATTATTATGGGTTTAAAACCATTTTGGTGATATTTTGATAAACATGGTATCATTTTATTTGGTATTTCTTTGCCTAGTAGTGTGGTTGAAAATCTTTCTGTATGTTTTTAGGCCATTCAGATTTTTTCGTTTTCTGGAATTGTCCCCCCCCTTTTTTTTTTTTGCCTGTTTTTCTTATTGTTAATCCCCTTACAAGCATTTTTAATATATTTTGTATATTAATTCTTTGTTTTATGTGTTGCAAATATCTTTTCCCAGTCTATGGCTTGTCTATTTAAGCTTTTATATAGGGGTTTTTAATTTGGGTATAGTCTAGTTTTTCTGTCATATATTTTGTGGTATGTTTTCTGCTTTGTTTAAGGAATTTTCTGTCCCTGGGTCATAAACGTATTCTTTTATTATTTAATACTGTGAAAACTGTGGTTTTATGGTTTTTTCCCATCTACTTTGGTCCTTCATCTGTATGTAATTTATTTTTGTGATGGGGTGAGTTAGGACTTTTTTTTCTCGGTGTGAATGAATAAGCAGTTTTCTAAGCACCATTTATTAATCTGCTCTTTACATCATTGATATAAAAGGACACTTTTACCCTTGCTTTATGTATCAGATCTGGCCTGTTTATTTTGGCCACCCCACTATCACACTGGAATAATTGCTGTAAACTTTATGTTTTAATATCTGGTAGGGTTAATCCCATCTCTCTCTCTCTTTTTTTCCCTCCAAAGTTGTTTGGGCCTGTCTTGCTCATTTGGTATTTTTCATCAGCTAGTCAAGTTTTATGAAAAATCTTTTTGGGATTTGATTGGGAATGCATTGTCTTTATGTTTATTGCGGAGAATTAACATCTTATATTTTGAGTACTTTATTAAATTGTCTTAGGCACTTTAATAAAGATCTTTATATTTTTCATTTGGTTCATTTTTAGGTATTTGAAAAGTTTTTCTCACTATTAAGAATGAAAACAATTATTCCTGCTTGTCTTAATTACATAGCCAGGACCTCTAGAACAATGTTCATTAGAAATACTTACAGCTTATATCATTGTGTCAACCTGGATAATCACCTGGGTAGCTTTTAAAGAAACGTTGATGCCCAGGTTTAATCCCAGAATATTTACATCAGAATCTCTGGAGGAAGAGACCCAAACATCAGCATGTTTTGAAGCTCTCCAGTCAACTTTAGTGTGCAGTAAAGGTTCAGAACCATTGCTTTAATAAAAGAACGCTACTAAAGTTTTACCATTGGGTCTGATGTTTGTGGTCTGTTTCTGATAAAACTGGTTTATCAAGTTAAGGATATTTCTTTTTTTTTCTTTTCTTTTCTTTTTTTTTTTTTTTTTTGTACGCGGGCCTCTCACTGTTGTGGCCTCTCCCATTGTGGAGCACAGGCTCCGGATGCGCAGGCTCAGCGGCCATGGCTCACGGGCCCAGCCGCTCCGCGGCATGTGGGATCTTCCCGGACCTGAGCACGAACCCATGTCCTCTGCATCGGCAGGAGGACTCTCAACCACTGCGCCACCAGGGAAGCCCTATTTCTTTTTTTTCTGCATCTATTGAAGTAATCATTTTTTTTCCTGCTTTAGTTAATTTAAAATTAGTAATTACATTGATAGATTTTCTCATGAGGAACCGTCCTTAAATTTGGGGGTTAAAATTTAGGTCTGCGATCCATTTTCTGTCAATTTTGTGTATGGTGTGACGTCTGGGTCCAATGTCATTTTCTTGTATATAAATGTCTGCTTTTCTCAATAGAATTTGCTAAAAGATTGTTTTTCTTTGTTGAATTGTCTTGGCACCCTTGTCAAGAATCAATTGAGAGTTTACTTCTGGACTCTCAATTCTGTTTCATGGATCTATATGTCTGTCCTTAGGGCTAGAACCACACAGTCTTGATTAAGGTAGCTTTTGGGTACATTTTGAAATTGGAACATGTGAATTGTCCAACTTTATTCTTTTTTAAGGTTGTTTTGGCTACTCTGGGTCTCTTCTTGCATTTCCATGTAAATTTTAGGATCAGTTTGTCAATTTCTGCCCAAAAAAAAGGCAGCTGGGGTTTTGATAGGAATTGTACTGAATCTGTAGGTCAATTTGGGAATTATTGTCATCTTAACAATGTTAAGTCTCCTGATCCATGAACATGGGATACCTTTCCATTTATTTGTAGCTTCTTTGGTTTCTTGCAGCAGTGTTTTGTAGTTGTTAGGGTACAGGTCTCACACTTCTTTTGTTAACTTTACTTGTAGGGCTTCTTTTTTTTTGCCTGCCATTATCAGTGGATTGTTTTCTTTGGATTGCAAAATGGGATAAGGGATACAGCTCATTTTTGTATATTGATATTGTGTCCTGCCACATTGCTGAAATAGCTCATTATTCTAACAGGTTTTTGGTGGATTCTTTAGAATTTTCTAAATACAAGCATACCTTATTTTATTGAGCTTTGCAGATTTTGCATTTTTTTACAAATTGAAGGTTTGTGGCAACCTTGCATCAAACCTATCAGCACTATTTTTCCAACACCATTTGCTTACTTCATGTCTCTGTGTCTCATTTTGGTAATTCTTGCAATATATCAACCTTTTTCATTATTATTATGTTTGTTATGATGATCTGTGATCAGTGATCTTTGATGTTACTACTGTGACTTGCTGAAGGCCCAGATGAATGCCAATCTGAATGCGTTTTTTTATAACTTGTCTAAATGCCCTGGCCAGATCCTACAGTGTTAAATAGAAGTAGTGAGAATGGACATTCTTTTCTTTTTCCTGATTTTAGGGTGAAAGCATTCAATCTTTCTTTATTAAAGATGATTTTAGCTGTGTTAGCTATGGGTTATTCAGAAATGCCCTTTAGATTGAGGAAGTTTTCTTTCTATTCCTAGTTTACTGGGCGTTTTCATCATGAAAGGGTATTGGATTTTATTAGTGATTTTTTTCTTTATTTTTGAAGATGATCAGTTGGGTTTTACCCTTTATTCTATTAATATGGTATATTACATTGCTTGATTTTCAGATATTAAAGCACCTTTGCATTCTTAGGATAAATCCCATTTGGCCATGGTTTATAATCCTTTTGACATATTGCTAGATTTGATTTGCTAGCATTTTGTTGAGGACTTTCGTGTTTATATTCTTAAGGGATATTTGTCTGTAGTTTTCTTTTGATATCTTTGGCTGGCGTTGGTTTCAGGGTAATACTGGCCTTATATAATGAGTTGGGAAATGTTCCTTTCTCTTCTGTTATTTGGAGGACATAGGTAGGGGAGAGTTTGTGAAGTAGCGGTACTTTTTAATGTTTGGCAGAATTCACTTGTGAATCCTGGACTTTTCTTTGTTGGCAGTTCTAAAATTATTCAGTTTTTTTGCTTGTTATAGGTCTATTATGATTTCTGTTTCCTATTGAGTCAGTTTCAGCAGTTTGTGTCTTTCTAGGAATTTGTCCATTTCATCTAAATAACTTATTATTGTTTATAGATATGTATTTAAAAGTGTGCCTTTTTTTTTCTCATAAGATCAGCAGTGATTTTAGCAATTATGCCTTCTCTCTTTTTTTTTCTTGGTCAGTCTAGTTATTTTTCCCTTTGGTTTTGTTGGTTTTTCTCCATTGATTTTCTTGTCTTCATTTCATTTTATTTCTGCTGTAATATTTATTACACACTTCTCCTTGCTTTTGGGTTTAATTTTTTTCTTCTTTTTCTAATTTTTTTAAGGTGGAAGATTAGATTATTGATTTGATTTTTTTTTTTTTTTTAGCACAGGCATAATAACTAAACATTTTTTTCTAAGCATTGCTATAATGTAAGTTTGGGTATGTCATGTTTTCATTTTTGTTCATCTCAAAGTATTTTTAAATTTCCCTTCTGATTTCTTCTTTGATCCATTAGTTATTCAGGGGTGTGTTTTTTGATTTTTTTCATATTTGTGAATTTCCCTAATTTTCTTCTGTTGTTGATTTCTGATTTAATTTCATTGTGATCAGATGACATACTTTTTATCATTTCAAATTTTAAAAGTTTTGTTGAGTCTTGTTTTATGACCTAGCACTTGGTCTCTCCTGGAGACTCTTCCTTGTGCATGTGAGAAGAGTGTGTATTCTGCTGTTAGGTGGGGTGTTCTGTAGCTGTCTGTTAAGTCTGATTTGTTCATAGTTGCTCAATCTTCCGTTTCCTTGTTGAGCTTCTGCCTAGTTATCTACCCATTATTGAAAGTAGGGTATTGAAGTCTTCAATTTTATTGTTGTTTATTTTCCCAGTTAATTTTTTTAGTTTTTGCTTTATGTATTTTGGAGGTATGTTGTTCAGTTCATATATTTCTATAACCGTGGGATATCTTCCTGAGGGGTTGAATTTGTTATATAAGATGTTCTTTTTCTCTCACAATAAATTCTAGCTTATTGTATTATGATAGCCATTATGGCACACGCACGCCATAATGCATGGTATTGGTATACTTTTCTTTCTGTCCTTTTTTTTTTTTTTTTTTTTTTTTTGCGGTACGAGGGCCTCTCACTGTTGCAGCCTCTCCCGTTGCGGAATACAGGCTCTGGACGCGCAGGCTCAGCGGCCATGGCTCACGGGCCCAGCCGCTCCGCGGCATGTGGGATATTCCCGGACCGGGGCACAAACCCGCGTCCCCTGCATCGGCAGGCAGACCCTCAACCACTGCGCCACCAGGGAAGACCCTTTCTGTCCTTTTACTTGCAACTCATTTGAATCTAGAATTTGCTGACAGAATACAGCTGGATAATTTTTTTTTAATCCATTCTGACAACCTCTGCCTTTTGATTGGGGTTTTTTAAAAATTTACATTTCATGTAATTACTACTAAGGTAGGATTTACATCTGCCATTTTAATATTTGTTGTCTGTATCTTTTGTCCTTTTTGTTACTCTGTTCCTCGATTCTTGTCTTTTAAATTAAATAGATATTTTTTAGTGTACCTTTTTAATTCTCTTCTTTCTTTTACTGTATATTTTTTAGTTATTTTCTTAACTGTTGCCCTGGGGATTACAAGTATCATCTTAACTTAAAACAGATTAATAGTAACTTAATAATTCAGATTAATAGTAATTTAATAATACACAAAAACTTTGATATACCTTGATTCCCACCTCTCTTCTTTGTACTATTATTGTCAGATGAATTACACGTTTTATGTTTTAAGCCCATCGGTACAGTTTTATAATTATTGCTTTATGCAGTTGTCTTTTATTGGGTTGGCCAAAAAGTCTATTCGGGTTTTTCTGTAAGATGTTACAGACAAACCTGAATGAACTTTTTGGCCAACCCAATAAAATGTATGGGAGAAGAAACAAGTTACAAATAAAAAAATATGTTTATCCTCTCTTTCGTAATTACCTTTACTGGTGTTCTTTATTTTTTTGAGTGGATTTGAGTTACTGTTTAAATGTCCTTTCATTTCATTTGTAGGGAATACTTCAGTTTATGTGGAAATGTCTAATTTTTCCTTTATATTTAAAGGAGACTTTAGTTGAATTTAGAATTCTTGGTTGAGTCTTTTTTTATTTTAGTTTTGTCATCCTATTGTCTTTTGGCCTCCATGATTTTGTGGTGAAGTCAGCATTTCATCTTGTTCAAGTTCCCTTGTATGTGATAAGTCATTTTTATCTTGCTATTCAATTTTCAAGATTTCTTTTTGATGTTCATCCATTTGACTGCAATGTCTTTAGATATGGCTCTATTTGAGTTTATTCTACTTGGAGTTTCCTGAGCTTCTTGAATGTGTAGATAATATTTTTCATCAAATTCAGGGAGTTTCCAGCCATTATTTCTTCAGATACTTTTTCTGTCTCTTTTTCTTTCTCTACTCTCTTTGAGACTCCCTTTATACTTAATTGGTACACTTGATGTTTTCACAGGTCTCTAAGGTTCATTTTTCTTGATTTTCTTTTCTTTCCCTGCTTTTCAGAGTGGATAATCTCTATTGATCCATCTTCAAGTTTGCTGTTGTTGCAGCCCAGATCTGTGGTTGAGCCCTTCTAAAGTGGATATTTTATTTTAGTTATTTTTTTTTAACTCCAGGGTTTCTGTTTGGTTTTCTTTTCTTTTCTTTTTTTTAAAATTTATTTTATTTATTTACTTTTGGCCGTGTTGGGTCTTCGTTGCTGCACACGGGCTTTCTCTAGTTGTGGCGAGCGGGGGCTACTCTTCGTTGCGGTGCGTGGGCTTCTCATGGTGGTGGCTTCTCTTGTTGCGAAGTACGGGCTCTAGGCATGCAGGCTTCAATAGTTGTGGCAAGTGGGCTTAGTTGCTCCGTGGCATGTGGGATCTTCCTGGACCAGGGCTCGAACCTGTGTCCCCTGCATCAGCTGGTGGATTCTTTACCACTGCACCACCAGGGAAGTCCTCTGTTTGGTTTTCTAATAGATAGATAATTTCTGTTTCTTTGTTAATTTTCTCTACTTGATGAGTCATCATTTTTATACTTTCATCCTTTAGACATGGTTTCCTTTAGTTCTTTGATCATATTTATAAGAGCTGATCTAAAGTTTTTGTTCATTAAGTTCAAAATCTGAGTACCCTTCAGGAATATTTTCTCTTGGCTGGTTTTTCTCCGGTATATATGGCATACTTGCTTCTTTTTTTCCATGTCTTATAATTTTTTTGTTGAAAACTGGACCTTTTATATTAAAATGACACTGATATCAGATTACTTCACCCTCTCAGAGTTTGTTGTTGCTGATATTATTGTAGTTTTTTTTTCTGTTGTATGACATCCTTGGATTAATTCATTTCCTGCAGTGTATGGCTATTGAATTCTCAAAGCTGAACTCTGAGTCTGATAATTATCACATTGAGAATAGAGATTTTTTTCAGGGAACTGAAAGTTTGGACAAAATATTGACTGTGCTCTGGACATGGTGCTTTTAACAGTGCTTCAGAAGAAATCAGATCTCTCCACTGTCTGCACAGCTGCTGGCTTTTGGCTATTCTCAACTGAGCTGAGGCAGGAAGTGGAATGGCATAGCCCCAAGTTAAAACATCAAGACCCTGCTATCTTACTGAGGTTTGGTAGTTTCTTGGGTAGATGATTTTCAGTTCCTTTTGTGGTTTTGGTTAATTGTCAGAGTTCTGAAATTTTTTAGTTGTGTTCCACATATTTTTGTTGTTTTAGGAGAGCTAGTTTGCCCACATCCTCTGTCCACCATTCTGGAAGTTGATTTCCCCATTATTCATGATTTTTCATGTAATGCAATGCTGAATTTGATTTTCTGGTATTTAGGATTTTTGTAAATATAAGTGATATTTTTGAATTAGGTAACATCCAGTCTTTTTCTATGCTTTGGAATAGTTTGTAGAAGATGTTTCTACGATGGTTTAGTAGTTTTTAGGTCTGCTATGGAGAAATGATTCCCCACTGTTTTGTGCTTTTTTTCCCCTAAGGATTCTACCTGCTTTAATTTTACTGATCCTTTTACCAAATGCAGCTGCTTCTCTGCCTCTGTCTTAATGTGACCATATGCATGCATTGTTTTATCTTTGTTAGTATGCATAATAGTACTTGGCAAAGTTTTGGCCAAGATTTTGTCTGTATTGTTCACTGCTTTATCCCTAGTGCCTAGAATGATGCTGTAACATAATGTGTTCCAAATGAATGAATGAACAACATTGTCTAATCTCTTTAAATATTTGTGTACTTCTCACTTATTTTCATCTCCAGTAAAGTCTACTGGAGATGAAAATCTACTTCCTTCCATGCTTTTATTTCCTTCCTGTACTTTATACTATACAATACTATACAGTATTGTTTTAATGAATCTGTAGCACTTTCTACAAGTAAATCGAATCTGGTTTTAGAGCCAATTCTTTTCACTAATGTCAGTATTATTGTAACCATTAAATAATATATTTTTACATAACTTTTGTTCTAACACTCTTTGTTTTTAGGCCATGGACACAGTCATTCCCTCTTTAACGGTGCTCTGGATCAGGCACATGGCCATGGAGATCATTGCCATAGTCATGAATTGAAACATGGTGCTGCACATAGCCATGATCACGCTCATGGACATGGACACTTTCATTCTCATGGTGAGTATAGCCTAAATGCTTTCAAGTGGACAGTTTTTTAAATAAACAGAAATTGCGTAGATTAATTTTTGTAGTTGAAATAATCTGTTAAAAATATTGCAATCAAGTTCCTTTCTAATGAGTCAGACTGAATGGTTTCCTGGACTAGTTTATTTTTAGTATATAATGAAATTAACTTGGCATAGGCAGTGATTGTAGCTTTTTTCAGTGAGTTTATTATAATAAAATGCCACTATTTTAAATGAGTGTCAGTGAATGAGGAACTATTGCATTTTAGCAAATGATTTTTTTGAAGTATACTGAGGCCTTTTGTGCCATATATAGGCTTATAAAAATATGACAGTTTTCAATTTTTCACATTTTTCTTGTAATTTTGATAGCTATCACCTGATATTTACCTCCATCTTTATATGCTAACTTATATAGTACTAGGTACTAAATTATAAGGTATTTATCAACTTAATTAACATTGAATTTTAAAATTATATTTAAATAGTTTATTCACAAAATTTTAGAATATAGATTAATAGATACAAGCTGCTTAGGTGATACCATTTTATTAATCTTTAAATAAATTATATGCTTAAAAATTGTCTGTACTTGGCACACAGACCAAATCCTAAAGCTTTCAATTTGAAAATATGAAATGGGCCTTATAGATTAATTACTAAGCCCCTAATTTTTTCAGTCTCTAACATTTGCTATATTTTTGTAACTATTACACTGATATGCTTTAAAACCTGCGTTTCTAAGTTTTTTGCTCACATGCATCCCAAAATAATTTTGAAAAACCGTATATTGCCCACAGTTTTAAGATGATTTCTAAAAAAATTTGTTTAAATAATTGCAAAGAATGTAATTTCTGATACCTTATAGATTATATTTTAGAAAGAAACTTCCATATTACTCTTGAATATAGTCAGTCACTGGACTCTAAATACCTTAGTGATTTGAGACCCACTGTCACCCATTCAAAAATGCATAAACAGTTATAAATTTTACAGCATCCTGTTTCTCCTCGAATTCTTATTTCTATTCCACTTCCTTTCCAGAATTTTATAAAATGGAGTATATTTAAGTCCTTAGTTGACCATCTCTTATATTTCTTGGCAATAAAATATGTATATAAATTAAAATATTTTATTTCTTAGGAACACAAGACAACATTTAAACATTTCTTTTGGATGGAGTTATTGTAGCGTTTACTAGTATAAAGTCAATGAAAATAATTCTGTTTTGATTTTTGATATGTATATAAACATAAAGCAACATTTTATTTGAAATACATATCTTTTTTTATTTTATATGGCTGTGTTGGGTCTTTATTGCTGCACACGGGCTTTCTCTAGTTGTGGCAAGCAGGGGCTACTCTTCGTTGCGGTGCGCGGACTTCTCATTGCGGTGGCTTCTCTTGTTGTGGAACACGGGCTCTCGGCACATGGGCTTCAGTAGTTGTGGCACGTGGGCTTAGTAGTTGGGCTTGCAGGCTCTAGAGTGCAGGCTTCGTAGTTGTGGCGCACGAGCTTAGTTGCTCCATGGCATATGGGATCTTCCCAGACCAGGCAGATCCCAAGATATTGATAAGATATATTCAATATCTTATCGAACCCATGTCCCCTGCATTGGCAGGCGGATTCTTAACCACTGCATCACCAGGGAAGTCCCTGAAATGCATATCTTAATGATATGACTGGAAGTCTTTTTTTCCTCAACTAGTTTATGGATAAGTAACACTTATTAGCATAAAACAGGTTTGGCATCAATTCTGTTCCTATTTTCCATCCTTATAATGTAAGTATCAATACTAAGAAACTTTAAGGAATTCTGTTATAGCAGTTTCACTTAATTCTTTGAACACCTTCAGAATTACATTCCAAAAATTACATGACCTATCACCAAATGTTATTTTTATGACTTAAATATAAGACATGACACTATAAAACTCCTAGAAGAGAACACAGGCAAAACATTCTCTGACATAAATCGTACCAATGTTTTCTTAGGTCAGACTCCCAAGGCAATAGAAATAAAGGCAAAAGTAAACAAATGGGACCTAATCAAATTTATAAGCTTTTGCACAGCAAAGGAAACCATAAACAAAATGAAAAAACAACCTACAGACTGGAAGAAAATATTTGCAAACAATGAGACCGACAAGGGTTTAATTTCCAAAATATACAAACAGCTCATACAACTCAATAACAAAAAAACCAACAACCCAATTTAAAAAAAGGGCAGAAAACCTAAATAGACATTTCTCCAAAGACATACAGGTAGCCAATAGGCACATGAAAAGATGCTCAACATCGCTAACTATTGGAGAAATGAAAATCAGAACTACAATGAGGTATCACCTCACACCACTCAGAATGACCATCATTAAAAAGTCTACAGATAACAAATGCTGGAGAGGGTTTGGAGAAAAGGGAACCCTCCTGCACTGTTGGCAGGATTGTAAATTGGTACAGCCACTGTGGAAAACAGTATGGAGGTTCCTTAAAAAACTAGAAATAGAGTTGACGTATGATCAGCAGTCCCACTCCTGGGCATATATCTGGAGAAAACTCTAATTCAAAAAGATACATGCACCCCAATGTTCATAGCAGCACTGTTTACAATAGCCAAGACATGGAAGCACCCTAAATGTCCATCAACAGATGAATAGATAAGAAAGATGTGGTATATATACACAATGGAATACTACTCAGCCATAAGAAGGAATGAAATAATGCCATTTGCAGCAATGTGGATGGACCTAGAGATTATCATACTAAGTGAAGTAAGTCAGAAAGAGAAAGACAAATACCATATGATATCACTTATATGTGGAATCTAAAATATGACACAAATGAACTTATTTACAAAACAGAAATAGACTCACAGACATAGAAAACAGACTTATGGTCCAAAGGGGAAAGGGGGTGGGAGAGGGATAAATTAGGAGTTTGGGATTAGCAGATACAAACTACTATATATAAAATAGATAAACAATAAAGTCTTACTGTATAGCACAGGAAACTGTATTCAATATCTTATAATAAACCATAATGGAAAAGGAAAAAAAAAGACTGTCTTTATCTCGACCAACTATGTATAGACAGAAATCTCATGCTCTGATTAGGAGCTGCATTTTTAGAAGAGTTAACACTTTTGACTATCAGGATTTTCAAGGTAGCTCCATCTTTCTCCCCACGCAGCAGTGCCATATTAAGACAGAAGTCATTGTGTAGCCTTATGCTTTTATACCTGGCATTGTTACAGTGTTCCATCAAAGATGTAGTAACAAGGGTGTGTCCACTCTTTGGTGCTGTGGGCCAAGAACCATGACTGTTAGTCATGATCAGAAAGCTCGTCAGTCCACTTGATGATCCCATAACAAACATTGCTGATCTTTTACATTGTTTACCTGTATTTTCTGCTTTAATGTTAATGCTGATTAGTAATCTTCCAAGTATAAAAATTGCAGTATTTTTTCATTTCGTCATTATAAAGGCAATATGAAAAAGTATTTTTATCTCTTCTATATGAAAAGCTTGCCACGTTCATCTAGAAGTTATTGGGAAACTGTTTGCCATAGTCCAGTTTTCCTGGATGCCGTCCTGGCTTCATTTCTTGGTCTTCTTATAATATCAAGTAGTAGTTTTATTTTTTTCTGGATTTTCCAATTGTAAAATTGGTACAGCAGGCTCTGTAAGGTATGTTATGAATATTAGAAGACTCAATGTTTTTATTTACTGTTTTTTTTTACCAGATTGCTTAATATAATAATTTCCTAAATACTCTGTACTGTTGATGCAGTTTGAAATTTCCTATGTCTATCTTCATTTAATTACCATATTAAATTTTAAAAATAATTTTGTAGGTCTGATGTGGCTATATAGTCATGCATCCTTCACGATACATTTGAATGAAAAGTACTCTGAGTTGCAAAAATTGAATAAGGAATGAAGACATGTTTTAAAATAATTTAACTTAACTCTCTACAGATGGCCCCTCCTTAAAAGAAACAACAGGACCCAGTAGACAGATTTTACAAGGTATGACAAGCAATTTGTATATTTCTCAGTTTTATGAAACTGTTTTCGTAGTTTTGAGCTATCTGAAGTTTTCCTTTAAGAAAAATTTTTAACACAGTATTTGTGTTTAAAATGTTAGCCTTCCTAGTCGATTTTTTAATATATACTATTAGGTATATTAGCAGATGTTCTTTTAACTGTCACTAGGCTGTTTTCTCAGATTTAATAAGAAGATTAAAATATTCAGAAACGATACTGCTTAAATCTAAATAAATACTCATGCCAGTGACTCTAGTAACACCGTAATATTTAGCAATAACTATATTAGTAATAAATAATAGTATGATTGCCTTTGTAGAATTATTAAACAACTTTTCCAAGAATAACATTCAACATGTATTTATGTTGTGGAAAAATTTAATGCTAAAAATGTAATGCATCCAAACTCAAATAATGTACAGAGCTAAGAGTGAATCCTAGTGTAAACTGTGAACTTGGGTCATAATGATGTGTCAGTTGTAACAAATGTACTACTCTGGTGGGGGAGGTTGACAATGAGGGAGGTTATGCCTGAATTGGAACAGTGGGCATAAGGGAAATCTCTATCTTCCACTTAGTTTTGCTGTGAACCTAAAACTGCGCTCAAAAATAAAGTCTATTATATTTAAAAAAAAAATAATGCAAAGGGAGATCTTTCTCATATCCATAGGCATCAAATGATGACACCTAAAGAGGACTTACATATTATGTAAAATGATATATTACAGAATTTTACAAGCTAGAGAAAATCAGTCTTGTCTGTGAACTATGGTAGTTTCTTTTTTGGGATGTGAACCAACCTTTGGCTCTGGATTTCCATATAAACTTCACTGTCACAGTTCCTAATTTGCAGCTCCCCATTTTCCTGCCTTTATTAACTTTTGACTGCAGTCTGACTTTCTCACTAGCTTGTGATCCAACTTCAACTGTACTTATTTTTATTTTCTCCTCTATTCTTTGATATAGTTCTTGCTTTTTATTTTTTCACTGTGAATATGTTCTTCCATACTGAAGAGCTTATTTCAGGAGGCTTAAATGTGTCTTGTAGTGACTAGTTTTCCATTTGTGAAATACACAGAATTGTTTTAGGACAGCATTTGCTGAAATAGCTTGTAATCATGCATATGTAATGCATCTGTATCCAGTGCTACAAATTTAGCCTTGATAATAAGAATTTAGTTTTAGTCTTGGAAATCATCACAAGTTGAGGGAAGGGAGGTCAGATTTGCATTCCTAATTATCTATTATACAAGCTGTTGTGAAAATTAGCTTGTATTTTCAGAGTATCCATTAATTTATGGTGACTGAAGCAGCCCAGTAGAAAGCTGAAGGTTAGGATAACTTCCAGGTACTAAAACTTTTCCATATAGATACTCACACATGAAAAACTGACTTTACTGAATTTTTCAGTTATTTGCTGCATTTTCAATATGACCCCTGGCTTTGTAGGTTCTTGGGCAGTTAAAATATCAGTATCCTACCAAGTCTTTTAAGGGTTTTAATTTTTATATAAGTTAAACATGTTAGTTTAGATTTCTCTCTGTAGTGATTTTCTTCTTGAAAGAGTTACTGGAAAGTAAGAAGGGCTTAGTTAGTTAATGACATTTGCTAGTAAAGCCAGTTTTCAGGTCAGCAAATAAGATGTAGCCAGGGACTTGCCAGTCAAAGGAAAATCAAGAACCTTTGTTCTTTTCTTTCTCCTTTTCAGTGTTTAGAGCTGCTTTCAATTCTGGTCCTACCAAAACATTGATTAAAGAATGTATTAAAATTTAAAATCACATATCACTTAAGAGTTTTGAAGGTTAGGGACCCTCAATCCACTTCCATGTGTATCTTCCTCCAGTTTTAATTTTAAAACTTAAAGTGATCCCAAAATTTATTAACCTATTTAATTCTTTGTTATATGAAACACCATAGAGAAATAGAATATTTTTTTCATAAGTGTGCTTGTAACATATTTTTTGTTACAGAAAAAAGAGCTGTTAACTTTTTGAAGAGTTGTTGTAAAGGTCAATGCTGTGTACAAATGAAAAAGCATATTAGGTACTGAGGAATCAGTTACATTTGGTATTAATACATGATATAAAATTCCACATTAGCAGATTGATTGAAGCATATTTTCATAGAGTGTGTTAAGATTCAATTCAGGTGTATTAAGATTCAATTAACAACTTGTTAATAGTCCATTTTTAAATTATTAGAAAGTGTTTTCAAGTTTAAATAAATCTGTTTTATACCTAAAACATAATTGGGTTACCTTTAATTGCTTATTGAATAATAAAAAAGAAAAATAAGTATTTCTAAAGTAGACACATGGTTTCACACATTAGATATTTCTTTTCAGATAGAGTAGTTGATGCTGTTGAAGAATGTTCTATTTCTAGCAACATGTGGTTGAGGTTTGTTTAAGATAGTGTTTTGCTATACAGTAAATTTTACCTCTTACAGATCTAAATGGTGAATAATTTGTCTTAGTTAAAATTTTTTTAAATAATGTATACTAAACTTAATTTTTGACATTTTTTTAATGGTTTTCCAGTCAAGTATCAATTATTAAATGTTAATATATCTAGGTTCTTGGGCAGAGTATCAGTATCCTACTAATGTAATATTTAATTATTAAAAGTTCAAAATATATTTACGTCCACTTTAAAATATTCAAATCTCTACTTTCTTTCATATCAGGTTTGAGTTTAGTGTGTAACTTTAGGTAACAATACCTTCAGGATAATTACCAGGATTAGCAGTATGGTCCATAGGAAATTCTAGTCTCAAATGGTAATAATTTTAATTACCAGCAGAGGGCTCTGTGTGTACATATATTTGTAGTTATAAACAATGTTTTCTTGACTGATTCTTTCAGCCTAATGCAGTTTTCTTCTAACAAAGTATTAATTAACTTCTGGACTCTTAACCAGAGACGAGTGTGCACAAAAAATTTTTTAAATCAGTTATTTCTCCACTTCTTCATTTATATTATAGCAAAATACTAAGGATCATTAAGAGCAAGCATAACTTAATGAGTCAAATATTTTAACCCCTGCTGTTTTTTAAAAAGAAAGATTATTTCAATTCCCAAAGGTACTATCAATATTACTTCTTTACTAAACAGTGAATCTGCATTCTTACTGATTTTCAAATTGCTAGGTTTTTATATATAAAATCAAGAATATAGTTTTAAGAAATATTTGCATTTTCAGTTGATCAGAAAATGTTATTTTGATTTTCATTATGTTTTATTTCTAGGTGTATTTTTACACATTCTAGCAGATACACTTGGGAGTATCGGTGTAATTGTCTCTGCCATCATGATGCAGAATTTTGGTCTAATGATAGCAGATCCTATTTGTTCAATCCTGATAGCCATGCTCATAGTTTTAAGGTAAGTGTTGGTATGTTACTTTCAGGTATTAAAATGAGAGGTGATAAATATACTACTTAAATTACAGATCTAAATTATTATTATGTTTGGGGTTTTTTGGTCTTTAACAAATTTCTACATAGATTATTTCTCTTTTCATCTTACTGTTTTTTCTGTGTTTACCTAGGATTTGATATTTCTTTTTGGTGTTTAGTAATTGATCTTCTGTAAATCAAATCAGTAGTAATTTTCTTAAATCCAACACTATATCTGTAGAGTAGAACATTAGAAATATAAAATGTATTAATGTTAGAATATTATTCCTTTGACATCTGTCTTTTGCACTATCAAATGCAAAAGAATATTAAAATCTCTTCTAGAACAATTTTTAATTTATAAAGTTATATTATCATTGCGGAAGTCTTATAAAATTGCTTACTGAAGTATATTTATGTCCTTCTCCCTATCTAGATTATAAATTCTTGAGGAAGAATCTATCTTTTAGCTCTTTGGCTCTCTGTTGCCTGTCATAGTACCAATGTGTATGTAAAAGTGTGTGTGAGTGTGTATAAATTCTCAATAAATATTTTCTGAATTAGTGTATGGTTACTAGCTCTTAAATTTCTGTCAAGTTATTTTATTATTATTTTAATTTTTATCAGAATAATGGAACATTATGTGCCTTTATTTCACAATCTGAATTATTTATATAGATATATCTTGACTGGACTGTTTTTGTCTAATTTATCCATATGATTTTACTGTTAGTAAAGCTATCTTTGTAATGATAAAAGAGCTATTAGAGGGCAGACTGTGATGATTTTTATAGCTTGCAGTTGAATAGAATAGACTTTAAAAATTACAATGAAATTATAATCTTATAAATTAGTCATAAACATAGGTTTTCAAGTTTTTGCTTAAAAAATAGGATACAGTATACATTTTAAACATGCAGATTATTTTAAATTTTTCTTTAAATTATTTGTACTAGGAATCATCTCTGCTATGTAAAAATCTTTTATAAAACTCGGAATCTCCTTTCTTCATCTTTGGAAATCTTACATATTTCCTTGAAAGTTCAGCTTGGATTCACATATTCTATGAAACTTAACTCCTGATAGATTTGGTAACTTACATCTGTACCTCTTTATTTGCATGTTCAGTGTTTATTTTATTTTGTTATTTGCATGTTATAATTTGTGGCTGCTTCTAATGCTTCTTAGAGTAGGATCTTAATCTTTATTTTCCTTTGTCTCCACTCATATTATCCTAATTCTCCTATCATTTGTTGCTTGGAAGAGGTTGACCTTTCTGTCTCCCTCTAATTTCTTTTCCACATTGTGACCAAAATGATCTTTCTTTAATGAAGATTATGGTACATGGAAAAATAATCTTGCTTTAAATCGTGCCATGGCTTTCTTGCCCTCAGGATAAAGTCTGAATTCCTCAGTAGGCCTTCACATTGGTACCCATTTATCTCTTCAGTCTTTCTCTCACCCTGTCTCAATTTCTGTTCTGCTCTCCAGCCACAGTAAATAACTCAGTTCCCTGAAAACATGTTATAAGTTTTCTGGATTCTGAGCTTTGCTCTTGTTTCCTCTCTCCAAAATAAAATACTCTTACACTGAGTGTCCTTCTCCTTTCCCCTTCACCGCCACAAGTACTAGATAACAATTCTCATCCTTGAGATTAGATTTCAGTTTAAATGGCACTTCCTTGAGGAAGCGTTTCCTGATCGTCTACCTCCCAGGAGGGGTTAAGTATACCTGTAGCACCGCCTGCTACTCCTCTTGTGGCATTTACTAATGAAATAGCCTGTCTTATTGTCTTCCTTAAGCTCCATAAGGGCAAACTGTTTTTTCATTGTTGTAAAGTCAGCACCTAACTCTGCCAGGCAAAAGTTGGTACATTTTCGATTTGAATCAAAATAAATTCGTGTTTTTTCAGCCTCAGAGAATTATTTTCTCTAATCCTAAATCAGGAATTCTTACTTAGTTCTAGTCCCATTCACTTGTTCTACAAATATGAATAAATAAATAAACACACACACAGAGGACAAGAGAACTTTTTTTTTCTGAAATATAACACATTAAAAAGCTACACAAATTATTTTCAGCAAATATTTATTAAGTAGACCCTCTCACCAGGGTGGTGAAAGGACAAGATAACTTACTGTTTTGATCTTACATTATAGTAAAAGAGAGAGACACAAACAAATTAATCAATAAACCACTCAAGTATCTAGCAGTTAATTGTGCAGAGAGTTAAGATGGGATGTTAGTGACTGAGGTGCTATTTTAGACTGAGTCATAAGAGAAGACTTCCGAAGAGGGAGGATTTAAATTGAGATCAGAGTGTTGAAGAGAGCATTCTAGTCTAAGGAACAGCTAGTATAAAAGCCCTGTAGTGGAAAGAACATTAGCACTGAAAGTTGCTCATTATGGCAGAAGTATAGGGAGTACGGGGAGAGTGCTTTGAAGTAAAGCCAGAGGGATAGGCCTGGGAAAATTAGCCAGGGTTAGGAGTTTCGATTTTATTTTAGGTGGAGGAGGAAACCATAGGGGGTGACATTACTTGATTTGTATCATTAAAAATAATTTTGGCTGCTTTGTAGTTAATAAGATTAAAAGGGGGTAAGAGGGCACACAGGCAGACCAACTAGAAAGCTATTAAAGTGGACCAAATAAGAGGCCAGGGTCCCTTGGTCTAAGGTACTAATAATCTAGGAGGTAGAAAGATGTAGCTAAAGTTAGAAAATGCTTTGGGCCTAGAATTAATAAGAATTGCTCCTAGATATGAATGTTTAGGTGAAGGGTTGAGTGAAAGGGGGGAAATTAAGGATAATTCCTAGAGTTTTTACATGAGCAACTGAGTGAATGAAGGTTCCTCTACTGAAAGAGGGAAGACTAGGGGAAGAGTTGTTTTATCTGATTCAAAGGGCATTGCTGATCAGAAGTTCTGTTTTGGTTGTTGCTAGGTTTGAGGTCTCTCATTAGACATTTATATGGTGATCTCAAGTAGGTGGTGCACGTACAAGTACAGAATTCTTGGGAGCACTCAGCTGAATATAAAAGATTGGAAATAGTTCACATATAGATTTAAAGTCATGGAGTAGCATTTATCTGTCATGAATTCCACAATTCCTACCCCTTCCATTTTCCTGGAAAGCAACCCTCTTTTCTGCTGAACCCAATTTAGCTAAAGGAAATAATGCTTCAGGCAGCCACAACCAACTACAGTTGGCTTTCAAGATAAACCTATAAAACTTAGGTGTTAGCCTTGTCTAAGTCCTACTGACCTGTTTATAAAACTTTTTCTCAGTAGTTTACATAAATATATATTCTCAAATTCATATAATTTGATTCTTTTTCATTTTTGTTAAGCTTAACATTTTTGCTTGTTCTTTTCCTTTGTTCTCATATCAAAAGTAATACATGTTGATTGTAAAAAACTCAAACATTATTGAAATGTGCAACTTGTCTATTGAAATGTCCTTTCAATCCCACCACTTGGAGATAAAGCAGAAAACTTTAACGAATCTTTAAATCATTTAACAAATGTTTTAGTGCCCACTCTGTGCTAGTCAGTAAACAATATAGCAAATACCCTACCTTCATGGAGCTTATATTCTAATAGGGGTTATAGTCAATAAAGCAGATGGACATGCAAATAGATAATGTATGTCATATAGTGATAAATGCTATGAAGTAGGGGAAGGGGCTGTATTTTAGAAGGGCTTGGAAAGTCCTCTGCATCGTTTGAGGAATGACGAGAGGGGAGTGCAGTGAGTAGGGCAGAGAGGTGGCAGGTATATGTATCTAGAATTTGGGGAAGGGGTTGAGGTGAAAGATAGAAATTTGGGTGTCATCAAGCTGCATGGTATTTAAAGCCATGAGATTGGATGAGTTTGCCCAGAGAATGAGCACTGATAGAGAGAAGTGGCTGGAGGACTGAACCCTAGGGGAGGTGGGGAACAGAGGCAACTCCAGCAGAGGAGAGGAAAGCGGAGTGGCCAGTGAGGAGCGAGGAGACACATGGGCATGCCTTGTTTTAGGAGCCGTGTAAAGCAAGTGTTTTAAACAAGAAGGAATAATTAAGCCTATTAAATGCTTTTGGGCTGGTAATTGGTAACTTAGATAATATGTCCAGAGGAGTGATGAGAATGAAAGCCTGATCAGAGTAGCTTCAAGAGAGAATGGGAGGGGAGGAAATGGAAGTAACTGTAGTCAACTCCTTTTCAAGGCCCTTTGCTGTAAAGGGGAGCAGTGACTGCTGGCGACACTGAGGGCTCACTTTGAGGTTTGTGGTCATGAATTTAAAGTGAAAGCAACCAGCACAGTTGTGTTTTTTTTTTCTTTTTCTTTTTTTCTAGTCTTGTTCAGCTACTTGGTAAAAGGTATGGAATAGGCAGAGAGCTGGATTTAAAAGGTCTGAGGTTTTGTTGGGTGAGTGTTTTGTTGGGTGAGTGTTGGGTGGTGTTAGTGTCCCATGTCTATAATCCCTGCCTTGCTCCTTTCTCACTGGCAGAGTGAGAAAGGAGCAAGGCAGGGATTTTAGACATAGGAAGCTAAGATTTAAAGGTAATAATAGATTCTGAAAATGAAAGTGATGGGAGTGGATTGGATTGGAATTCTGGGAAAAGTGTTAAAGATGGATTGGGGGAAGAAATCAGAAGTAGGAAGGTTTATTGAGATGCTTGAAATTGAGATCTTAAGGTCTAAGGTCTGATCATAGGGGTGGATCCAGGAAAAGAGCATCATATAGAGGCCAAATGTTGGATGGATTGTTCACGTGGATATTTCAATTAAGAGTAATGAAAAACGTAGAGATGGAAAGAGAATAAGCCTGTTGCTAAACTATTCAGTGACTGAAGGGGAGCTATCAAGAATTGTATCACTAGTAATTAGGGTGGGTAGGAGGTGGCATAAACTGATGGCATGGGCCTTAAAGGAGCTGTGTTGGGGAGAAGTAGGAACAGTAGTAGTGATAAGTGAGGAGGACATTTACCTCCCGGTAAGTCC